TATTCACTATCTTGCTCTTCGTCTATTGACAAGATGGACGTGCATCAAAGTTGCGTTGAATCTTAAGCAAGCATGATTCCAGTCACTCTTACCGATTTCGGAGAGCGGCCTGGCAAAATTCAACGCTAAGTATGTCACTGTCAGGGCATGTACTGGGGATTTGGCTGGCGGACGGCTGGCGGTTACACCTAAAACCGCCAAACTGGATATTACCTACCTAGTATACAGTGCCAGCACACAGTACTGGAGCCCAATCGATACTATGCGCTGTAATTACAGGGCACCTGGCGCTAAAATGTGCTATAAGAACGCTATAATCATGGGACGTCATAGCGGAGGTCCCCCCTATAACCTTAACAGGGGCCCAACAGGTGTTCGTTTGGCGGCTTTAGTGCGATGACCTATCCAAGGGCGCCCCGCCCTGAACCCCACCAGGGAAAAATTCACTGAAGCACACTGACTCACGCTTGCCGGACTGCGGGGAAATTTTTCTTTAAAAACTTCAATCGACATCTTCCCACTACAAGCCCGTCCATGCCGACTTCCCAATTGCAATTGCGATACCAGTTCTCCCATTTTCCCGCCGAAGCCGATTAAACTCGAAAGCGCAACCATGTGCGGTACCGACGCCCCTGTAGCTGGTCCCGTCTCGAACGGCTCTCACCCTGTTCAAGGCAAACCAGCGAGCTCTCCATATCAGAATGTAAACGACTTCATCTCAAATGTCAACCGATTCAAGATTATCGAGTCTACTCTCCGCGAGGGCGAGCAGTTCGCCAATGCCTTCTTCGATACCGATATTAAGGTCCGCATGCAAGTGTACCCCATCCCCCATTGGACACTATGAAGCAAATACTGACTTTGTATGACAGCGCAAAAGCTCTGTAAGACCAAATCACCTTTCCAGCTTCGGAATTGCTTGCCGCCCTTCGCCCTTACTCCACCACCTAAGACAATATCATGGTTCGATACTAATATTCCTACAGGGATGGGTTCGGTTGCGATTATATAGAACTTACAAGTCCTGTTTCCTCTCCTCAATCATATGAGGATTGTAAGACTATTTGCGGGCTTGGGTTGAAGGTAAGACTCAATCAAGGCTGGTAGTTGAACTGGACGTTGAGACTAACAAATGGCATAGGCCAAGATTCTCACTCGTATGTGCTCCACTACAGATGCGACTACGATTGGTATTCAATATTCTAACTATAGGCAGACGTACGATGCAACATGGAAGACGCTAAGAAGGCCATTGAATGCGGTGTAGATGGCGTCGACCTAGTTATTGGTACTTCCAGCTTCTTGCAAGAGTATAGCCACGGAAAGAGTATAAAGATGATTGAGAAGATTGCTCTGGAAGTGATTGAATATGTCAAGAGGTACGTGTTGACCCTATGCCTAACGTTAATATTAGAATGTCGAGGCTAATATAAAATAATAGCCAGGGTGTTGAGGTCCGCTTTTCGTCAGAGGACTCATTCCGAAGTGACCTTGTCGACCTTCTTACTCTTTATAAGGCTGTCGATAAGGCTGGTGTTAACCGAGTGTGAGTTCTTTGGAATCAAGTGTTTAAGTAGGCGGGAAACTGACAAAAAGTAGCGGTGTTGCGGATACTGTTGGAGGAGCCACCCCCCGAATGGTCTACGACCTTATCCGAACGCTCCGAGGTAATTGAACCAATTCAAAACTATTAAGCAGAAGGCTAATCTTTGAATCAGGCGTTGTGGGCTGTGATATCGGTAAGCCTGCTTAGTTCTGTAATTCTAGTCCTTACCCACTAACACCACATAGAAACGCATTTCCACGACGACACTGGCTGTGCAGTCGCCAACGCTCACTCCGCTCTGGAGGCTGGAGCAACCCACATTGACACCAGTGAGCATTGCAATTGTTCCTAGATTATGTCTAATGCCTAATTTGATGTGCCAGGTGTTTTGGGTATTGGTGAGCGCAATGGTATCACTCCACTGTAAGTTCTCACAACAAATATGGTTAGGAGATTGGCTAATAGTGGAGGGCAGTGGCGCCTTAATGGCCCGCATGGTCGTGACTGCTCCGGAGTACGTCACCAAGAAGTATAACCTCAAGGCGCTTAAGGAGATTGAGGAGCTGGTCGCATCTGCCGTCCAGGTCAACATTCCAGTAAGACAATTCTGCCGAGAAATTGATATTTCACAATTAAGTAGTCTAATTTGTTGTTTAGTTTAACAACCCCATTACCGGGTTCTGCGCTTTGTATGTCCAACCTGGCTCTTCGTCAAGTTTTCAGCTAACCTAGGAAAAGCACGCACAAGGCTGGTATCCACGCCAAGGGTAAGTCAGCCTATAATAAGCTCATCACGCCCGATTTGAGTTCTGGCACTAATAGTTGCAGCTATTCTGGCAAACCCTTCGACCTACGAGATTATCGACCCCGCCCTATTTGGATGTAGGCTATTCGCGTACCCCCAAACTGCTCATCCTCTGATTCTGACTGTCCCATAGTGACCCGCTACATCTCAATCAACTCAAGAATCACTGGTTGGAATGCGATACGCGCGCGTTGTGACCAATTAGGACTCAAAATGACGGACGACCAGGTCAAGGAAGTGTATGTTTGCCGCTCTCGCAATGCCCCTTTACGTGGCCACACAGCAGAGCGAATAAGTGCTGACTGGAGAATAGAACTGCCAAGATCAAGCAGATGGCCGACATTCGACCACTGGCCATCGACGACACCGATAGTATCATCCACTCTTACCACATGGAGTTGCAGAAGAAGCAGCAGGTATAGAGATCGACGAGGGTGTTCGTTGTGCTATTTAGGGTTGAGGATCAAAAAAGGAGAACTGCATTGGAATGTAAAAGCGTTAAGGTTTATGTATTTTCAATAAAGCGAATGGCAAGTGAGAATTAGCGGGATAGACAGGGTGATTGATTGATATGGCCGGGAGTTCGAAAACAAAAGTCATAGGTTGATTAAAAACATGAGTGGCGTTGCGATATTAGTGTTGCCTTTCTGTTTCTTCGCGCCGCAGGCTTTATTTTGCATACAAAAATGCCTCCGCGGCGTTGAAGGCTCTAAGACTGGAGGTATTGGGATCCGAAAATGGCAGCATCTATGCTAGACCAGCGATTCAAAAAAGGAGTCCCATCTTACCTCAGCGTCAATGCTCAGGCCACCTCCACTCAATTTCTTAAAGTATCCGTCTCAAGTACGAAGGTTCGGGCCAAAAGTTTGGAACATCTCCAGATCCTAGCACCGTGTTGGTAGGGACCATCTAGTATTTCGTACTGTATTAGCCAATGCGCTAAGTGATAAGCCGATAGTGGCCCGTCCACTGCAGCTTAGGTGGCCAAGCGCTATAGCTTTAGGGTATCAAGCCACTATGACATAGTAGTACTGTGCGACTCAATCTACCCACACGTGGCTTACCTAAACATTGGATGTTCCAAACTTTTGGCCCGAACCTTCGTACATAGTACTCAGCCATAACACTAAAGTTCAACCAATCAGGCTCCGGGACTTCTTAGTGGCTTTATGGATCTTTGCTCTGATCAGGCTAAGTGTAAAACATTCAGCTCGACGACCCGAGCCACAGTTGATCAGCTGGTGTCAACTGGCAAGTGTCAACAAAGTTACACTACAGGAAAACATGGGGGGACAATGCGCACACTACAAATATAAATATCAAGAGAAACTGCTGGTTCTTTTTTGGTGCAGCTCTTCCTCTTCATACACAAAACATGTCGGCTCTTCCTTTGCAGCACCATATTTCATTGACGAGACCAATATTAGTGGGATTGTTGACCTTCTATCGCCTGTGATGAACACTGCTCCCTGTAATAGTGGGGATTATCAGTAAGCTGAGGCGTTCTTTAGAAGGTTGAATTGTAATACCAGGACCAGATATATGTTGAGTTTTCCTTTCTTTCTTCTCTTTTCTCTCTTTCGAAGAAGCTGTTTACATTATAACCCCGTCGTCTGGGTTCATTTAGCGGTGTGTATTAACCATTTATCTTTTTGCTTGCTATAACTTAGGTTCTTCGATTAATAATGCTGCTACTCCTGTACCAAAGATGTCTTGCATAACGACACCTATGAACCAAAGATTCCGATACAAGGCAGTAAGTACGTGATTGTATTTTAGCCAATGCCCAAAGTCTTTGCACAATCGAAATAAGATTAATTGTGCCTACCTATCAACAACTGAGCACCTATTTAACTAACTCAAGGTGGCTGCTAATTTAAAGTAGAGTTTTTTCCCATGCTACTATTATCACCACATGCTGTTTCTTGCGTCCACGGGTTGGTTACAGGGTTGAGAGGAGGAAAGGGGTAACGGTTTTGTAGATTCTCAATAGGAGGAAACTATTACCATGTGGTTTATTTCAACAGGCTTGTAAGTTCTTAAAGACCATGTCGTATGTACTAAACCCCAACCCTGTATCCTCGGCAGAGGCACTGAAGTAAAACGGCCTTGGCACGAGATCAAACAAGAGGCTGTTCGAGGAGATTCAATGCAATGTTTATAAGTTCTAGTTAGAAATGTTCAAGGCTATTCTGAAGGGCTGCTCAACTGTAGCCACCGCTGAATGTAAGTTATGGGAAGAGCTCAAGGCTGGCAAGTACTATTTCTATGTAGCATAATGGCTTGGGGTTTCTTTCTGCTTCTTGATTCAAAATGCTTAAAGGGGGCTACGCCAACTTGCATGGTTGTTCCCGTGTTTGTTTGCAGTCTGTCTTGAGACCTTCCATGTCATCTGTGCCTCTTCCTGTTATCAACATCTTCTCCAAGGGTCCAGCATTGGTCCGCCGTCCTTTCTCTTCAAGGTTGTATTGCAATTGAAGATCCTCAGTAGGGAGTTTGAACTTTCGAGTATGTTAACACCAGCATGGATAGTAGTTAGCATGTGCAGCGCCACCGTGTACATTGGCAACCTCCCACAATCAAGTTCAAATATAAACTTAATTTTGTCAAGCATCCACTTGAGCAGTCCCCGACGCGGCTTAATCTATAGGCTCTGTGGTCTAAACGGAATGATACTCGCTTTGGGTTAATCCTTAAGCCTCGTGAGCGAGTGGTCCCGGGTTCGAATCCCGGCAGAGCCCTCATTTTTCTTCTTCGCTGGCGGTGTGTGAGTCATAGTCCGACATAGAAGGGCTTAGGTTTCCATATACAGCCAGAAAAAGCTTACAGCCGTAGACGATTCTAAAGACTCATGTCAGGCTTACTTGGTAGTGTGTAACAGCGTCACACTTTTAAGTTCTCTCCAACTGCCTATAATTCGCCCACTCTGTCTTATGGATGCTTTAAGAAGATTAAGTATCCGACCAAAGCCCCCGGAATGGATATATGAAGAAAAAAAATGTAAAATGTGCAACGCAACAATTCATCACTCGAAAGTTGTTATAAGCAATTTATATTGTTGTCAATAGACCTAAGCAACTATTGCTTCAACCTGAGCTGTGAGTAAGCCTGCGCAGTCACACCAGACATCGTTTATTTCTCTTAAACTCCCAACAGTTTATTTAGAAACTCTACGTCTGGACAAATTATCGCAACCCGTTCATAGCCTTTCGAGTAGCTGGTACCATAAATATCAAAAGGGGCTTGAGAATGACATACTATTACCGAGAATACGGCCACAGTACCCAATTCCCCCCCCCCCCCCCCCCGCGGGGGGGGGGGGGGGGGGGGGGGGGCGTTAATGACAACAACAACAACAACAACAACAACAACAACAACAAAATTTCATGTCAAAAGTTAGATACTCGGAGGAAGATGTCAGCCCGCATCATTGAGACCTGTTTTCGCGTAAAGAGCCTGCGCCAGCTATCCCGGATCTGGCACAAATGACCCGTGACACTGTCGACACATGGTCTGCCATATATAACCCTTGAAGTCGGCTATGAAGGCGATAGAGCGTTACAGAGGGCAGTGCTCCAGCTCAAGAATAGCAGGATACTCCACAGCCTTAACAAGTAGCTTTCTGCCCGCCCTAGTGTAGTAGGCTTCTCGCCCTCAGATCGTCCCCCAGCCAGACACATCGTAAAAGGCCATGGGCATCTTCCCCTTGTCGCCGTCAAACTCCACAGACGACGTATTTTCTAACCTCAAGAGTTAGAAATGTGAGAAAACCGGGACAATAGCTCTTCTCAGCCTTTAAAAGCTGGTGATGGAATGATGCAATTGGATTTCTAGAGCTAATATTAATTGAAGGCCTACCCACTGGCTAGTGCTTGGCATGCTAATTGACTGTCTAGGCGCCTTTTGCGAATTGACAAATACCTTCACTGATCTGCCTGGGCACCATGACCGCCTTGGTTTTCCTGATCCTGCAGAGTTTTCCTCTTCTTGTACTTGCGGTATAAGTCTTTCAAAGCATAAATGATCTCTCGCCAGACTAACACCACAAAGGTCAGGAACAAGTACGAAATCACGCAGGCGACAACGAAGACAGTAAAGAGTGCGAACCCGCGGGCTACCCGGGCGAACAAAAGCCAGGAATCGCTTGGCTCAAGAATAGTCTGGACGGCGAGGATGAGCTGCATGGCACTCATAAGGAGGGAGAAAACGGCGAAGGCGAAGAGTATTGGGGCGTAAAACTGCGCGAAGTAGGCGGCGTACTCCCACTTAACGGGATAATAGGTTGTTTCGGAAAGCAAGACTTTGCTCCAGAAGTTGAGACGCGCGAGGCGTAGCTCGCCGGCTTGATACCGCGGCGAGACAAGCTTGTCATCAACTTTGTAACAGACAATAAAGGCGGCAAATTCGGCATACGATATGTTCTCAGGGATAAGGCGCGTCTTTTTCTCCTCGGTGGCCAACCGGAAGTCAGACTCGTGCTGGATGAGATATGCGTAGGAGCGGAGGAATCCTCGTGCGGCCTGAAGAAGCTCTGCCCGTGCATCTAGTTGTATGGGTGAGCTGGCCGAGAGGAGGTAGTGCTTCCAGAAAGCGTGCGAGAGAAGGTACTTGGGCAAGGGTTTGAGGAAGACCCGGTCATTGACCCACACCAGGTGCAAGCCTGGCATCTCTGTAATGGTAATGGCGCGACCCTGGATGAGTTGCTCTGTAAGAGGCCGAATATTTTTGCTGTTTTGTGTAGTCATGAGCCAGAAATTTGGCGCAAGCTTATTCAACCGCTTTGTCATTAGCTCCCCCTGAAGTATTGCACATATATTCGGGTCCGTGAGCTCAACCCGGGGGTTTCCAGGCAGTGTTTCCTTCAGTGCTATCACCGGGCCTGGTGGAGCGGCAGCCGGCGTCGCCTCTGCTGGTTTAAGTCGAATCTCACCAGACTCTCCATTGATTTCCAGTTCCTTACATAGTTCCTGGCTCTCTTCAAACAGGGCGTCCTCCATACTACCTATTGGTCGGATTATGCGATTGAGCGTCGTTGACTATGACCATGAAGAGGATGGAATGAGTGGTTACTGCCTACTGAAATTGCATCATTCCACCACTAGCTTTTAAGGGTTGCGAGGGCAAGCTTTCAAACCCCTTCCGCTGAAGCACCGTGGAGGTACTTGGTACATTCAAAAGCAGAAATAAATCGGATTTCTCAGCAGGTTCAGCTGCGGTAGGTGCGCTAATCGACATCAAAATTGTACTAGTTTATTGCAACGCTACCTACAGCATAAAGCATGGTAGTAGCAAGTTCAGCTCTCTATTGAGTCAGGAGCAACTCGTAGCGCCCGGCTGCAATGCGATGCATAGTCCTCGCCGGCATGTCCCACTCTGATGTGCAGATTAATCCAGCAGCTGAAAGAACTCGCAGACATCAGCTTGTAGGCCCCTGTTCGTCTATAGACATGCCTTACGAAGAATTCGAGCTGGTAACCGCGACCGGCTTCGCAAAGCAACATCGACGGAAATACCCAAATTTAAGAAAAAGGTTCAACGACAGTGGACTGCTCTATGAAAGAGGTGTCTCGGCGTCGTGACAATGATTTATCTTGACTGCCCGAGGGCTGCGTGCCTAAGTCAGTCAAGGTGGTTGTTAAAATATCCTTACACGGGAACGCTTTCCGCTTGGGGTAAACTATTGATTAGGTAGCTCGATATGATCAGTCCACCGCCAGTGAATGGCGCCGTGGTTATAACAAGGGTAAGCTTAAGAGATGCCGTCCTCTGTATATGTCCTCTGCATAAGCGTGGCATCCAATCACTAGTAGTCTAGCCTCGGGGAAGAAACGATATGGCGAAGGTTCTGGAGTCAGCTCGAGGCTCTGGCTTTGGCTGCTAGTTGGCCGTGTGAGCGGCCATCTGTAAGCGTCGGTGAGCCAGTCTCTGCATTATTTATTGGTCAGGAGTCGCCGACTGCAGACCGTAACTCCCCATTAAGTAGCCGATGTATCTGAAGGGAAGTAATTAGCATGCCTCCAAATTGATAAGCTGACCTTCCCCCTCGCCAACCGACCTCAGCCGCACTTATATCTCGAAGAGACGCATGCATACACAAAAAGCCCTCACCAACCCCCCAGCTACCAATACTGCCAGTGGTAATATTATCGTCCGTGATTCTATTTCTCACGTATACACTAAAATCATAGCAGATATGCCTGACAAAGTACCTAAGCGCAGTCAGTCAGAGCCTCCCGTCAGTCGTAGGCACGATGAGGGGGGCTACGGGGGAGAAGTTGTGCGAGACCTCTTCCAGTTGGGCGAACGTGTCTTTGTAGCTGGAATGATCGTCTATTTGCCCTTCTTCGATTTCTGCTGGCGACTGATAATGATAAGCTTCTACTTCACATGCCAGTACTTTATATTTCTATCTCGTTTCCTCCTCGACTTTCCGAGGCATAGGTCCCATCTGTTGAAATACACGTTGAAGGCCGCATCGCACTGTGTTGCCCTGGCTCTCTTAACGTCGTGGTTTCTGTCGATGACACCCATACACGTCATTGCACCAACGCTAATGGATCTCTTCACGCCGTACACCATGCCCGCCGCCCATAGAGCCACAGAGATTGTGTATGATTCTGGAAGTAGCGCGGCAGTCGAGTAAGTAGTCCTCTAGTAACGAGCGGCAAGTGTTTACTAACCTTAAGGCAAGCATTTTCGCCATCCACGGCCTTGGTTCGAATCCAGACAGCACCTGGACCTACAAGAATGGCAATGGCACCAGAGTCAACTGGCTCAGAGATCTGCTGCCAACGGTTGAGGGTCTCGGGGATATCAGAGTTGTGATGGTCAACCACCAGACACGATGGGATTCAAATGTTGCCGAAATGGGACTTCATGAGCATGCATCTGAGCTGCTAGAACATATCCAGAGCATCCACAAGGTGAGGACACATTGAATTTCGCGTCGGGGTAGTATCCAAGACTAAGAAAGGTGCGTGTACAGACTAATCCTGAGCGACCCATAGTCTTCATTGCACACAGTTTTGGGGGGCTACTACTAAAGAAGGTAAAGAAGACTTCCTACCGCTTAGAGCAACAACGCCGTTCTACCTGCATCTTATATTAATCAAATGATTTAGGCGCTTCTTCTCGCAAAAGCCCGCTCAAAGGATGTGGCGGCAATGACTAAGGGGATCATCTTCCTCGGCGTACCTCATCAAGGTAGTAACGCTGCGTTTATTGCGTCATGCCTATCCTGCATGGCATTCTTCCGCGGTTCCTCATCATATCTGTTGGAATTAATGGCTGTAAATGGCCAGGGCCTGCTGGAGATCGAGTCTGAGTTCTACGACGCATATGTAATACAGTACCACTCGGACGATATTCAACCATACATCTGCGATATTCTCGAAATGAGGCCAGAAAGGATCGGAAAGCTCGTCTTAGGTCCAGTAGGCTTCACGATTCCAATCTTCTCTCTCATCGATGTATTGACCACGTGGGCCTAATGTTTTCATCTGCTCAGATAGTTAGTCCGAAGCACGGCCAGCCCCGCCATGGCAGGCAGCTTCCTCTTGACACGGACCATCGAGGTCTGAACAAATTCCAGTCGCACGACGACCCAAACTTCCAAAGGTTCTTGATGGTTCTCCGGCAAGCATATGAGCACGCAATGCAAAATAGTAAGTTGTCTAGGAGAAACGTGAGATCCTGTCTACATGTTCACCAACTTGTGTACAGGCATTCCACCAGAGAAGAA